TGGTCTAATAATTAACTTGCCTTGATAACAAGAAGTGCAAGAAAATTCATTATTTAAAAAAATCTTTAAATTCTTTAATGAATGCCCATTTGAGTTTTCTATAATTCGTCTCATCATAATTGATCCAGGGTGTCCCAATCGATCATGCCAAAGTACAAAAGTATTGAAATCAGTAACCTTTTGGTTCACAATAGAATGTGCCTCAATTGCACTAATTCTTGTCCAATACAGGCCACAAGATAAAGATGGGAACTTCTCAATAACCCTCTTTTGGCCAGAGGCATTCTTGGTAATGATGAAATATTCAAGATTATTCTCATCCATTGTCTCAATATGATATCCATTTCGGCGGATATCTTTAAAGCTCAACAAGTCCCTCTTGGACTTGGAGGAAAACATTGCATTCTCTATGATAAGTATCGTTCCCTTAGGCAGAGTTATAGTAGCTCTTCCAGAGCCTTCAATTAATTTACTACTACCAGAAATTGTAGTAACATCTGTCTTACATATACTTAAATGAGAGAAATATTTCTTCTCTTTAAATATTGTATGTGTCGTACATGAATCAACTAAACAAATATTTTTACAATTGAACGTTGATCCATATTTGCTTTGTGAGATATCCATATTTGCTTCTCATATTTTGACATACAAAAGAAATATACGAATAAGCGTTAGTATTTTCAGAGAAAATAGGAAGAAAACAAAGTTAAACCAATGATAAATAATGACATCTTAATAACAATTACGCAACTAATAGTGTACTATGAACTATTCAGTGAGTATATTATTATTTACATAATTTCTATGCATATGACTATTGATAATAAAATAACAGCTTAATTACAACAAAACAAGTCAAACATTGATAATATAGTTGTTCAGCAAATTAAAAATTATACAGTTGTTTTGTATTTTTAATTTTATTTCTTTAATTATTCTACATACACAGAGCTGCATGCGTGCATGTGAATGTGTTTATATATTCTACTAAGTCATTGTTCATCAATCAAGCATTAATTGAGAATTGCATAAAAAAATATTTCTATTAAATTTAAAACTTCTTTAAAATATAGACAATATATATACATCATATTATAATTACTTTATAGGTTAAACATGATAATGTCATGTATCAAAGATCACATGCACACTCCAATTTGAAACAATATTTACTATGAGTTATTTAAATTGCATTAAGTATTAATAAAACCAAATTACCTACTTATTTAATCACACAACAATGTAATGGTAACAATGTTTTTTTTTTGATACTGCGACTTTAGAGTTGCATTATACAAGTCACACTAAAAAAAACGATGAGTCACGTTAATTGCAAGCAAACATCTCAGTTTATACCATTATCTGACAGTGTTATCATATTAGAACACATAAACACTAGTTGTGAAATCATCATCTACATTTTCAGAAAATTCATTACTAAAGTTAAGATGACGCTTTTTCTATGAGCTAAACTATTTTATAAAATAAATAATACTAATGACTACTACTCATGTAAAGAACTATGGTTACATGATGTTTATTCACTAGCTAATACAAATAAGCAAAATCAAACTACTCAATCTTTCTTAACCACAGATCCATCACCGATCAAGTGGTCTATTTTTCTATCAGGGCACTCAAAGAAGTCTGGCACATCTAAATGGGTGATGTCAAATTCATTGTCATAGACAAAATTAGCTTTAGGGCCTTTATTCTTTAGAGATGTTTGATAAAGTTCAACCAAATGTCTTGGTACACGATAAATATTTGTCCAATGCCCTTTTCCACTTTTGGTGGTTATTTCTCTTCGGAGGGTGATTAACACCAGGAAAATATCTTCCTTGTCTACGGCCACGACCATGACCACGACCACGACCACGAATAGGGCCACGGCCTTTTCCACGCTTAGCATAATGGGAATACACCTCATCCACTTCAGGCAATAGTGTAGACCCAGTGGGTCAATTTTCGTGATTTCTCATGAGCAATTCATTGTTTCGTTCAGCCACAAGGAGAAGAGAAATCAACTCAGAGTACTTTTTGAAACCTTTCTCTTTGTACTGCTATTGCAGGACCATATTGGAGGCATGAAACGTTGTAAACGTTTTTTCAAACATATCATAATCAGTGATAGTATCTCCACAGAGTTTCAATTTAGAAGTAATTCTGAACATCGCAGAATTATATTCAGAAACAGACTTAAAGTCTTGGAGCCTCAGATGAGCCCAATCATATCGTACTTGTGGAAGAGTGACCAACTTTAAGTTGTCGTATCTTTCCTTTAATCCATTCCACAAAACAAGTGGATCTTTGACTGTGAAATATTCTATTTTCAACCCTTCATCAAGGTGATAGCTCAAGAAAATCAAGGCCTTAGCACAGTCTTGGGTGGATACTTTAGTTTTGTCTTTAATGGCGTCTCCAAGACTCATTGCATCTAAATGGATTTCAGCATCCAACACCCATGTCATATAGTTCTTGCCCGAAATTTCAAGGGCAACGAACTTTCTTTTCATAATGTCAATCATAGTTAAAAAGAGGAGAAAAGTTATACCTTAGTCTTCCCAAAGGCTTCTTGAGACGGTAGAGTCTCGTGCTGATAACGTGTAATGAAATAATAAAAGAAGAAGAACAATATTGCAGAGAGAGAGGAAATTCTTATTGAATTTTGGGATGATTTACAATGGGGTAAGACCCCTCTATTTATAGGGGGAAAATGACTTAGCCACAAAGTAAAACTCTTTACAAGATAGACATTCACTCTAGAATTCTATTCATAACAGCATTTCTCTTTTCTTTTCCTTTTTTCCTTCTTTTTCCGGTTCACTTCACTGTTCCATTGCCTTGCGTATCAACATCACAGTTGTCACAATCAATCAACCAATAAAAACAAATTTCATCAACTTGAAAGTACAGAACCCTAAAAAGTCAAAATTAGAGGCTTGAATGTCAAAATCGAAGGGTCAATAAAAGAATAGAAGAATACTTGAAATTCAAGGAATTGGCCCTTGACGAATCGTATAACCAAGCTTGATTTACCAGCTCCCATGTCGCCTAACAATACCTAAAAATCAAATAGAAATTTACTGTTAAAAAGATTTGAAAGCTATAAATTAAAATTAATTTGTGATGCATGGATGACAGAACTTACGAGTTTTGCATTGAGATTGTTGTGACCACCGGATGCCATGAAAAATGAATGAAATATAGATTGGTAAGAAATAAGAAAAGAAATGGAGAATTTACTGAGGGAGAAGGATCTGTTTTCTTTATGCAGAATTGAAGAAGAGCTAACAAAATTCGTTCCTCTCGAAAGCAAGAGAGTTGGACACGAAATGATCCCACTGTTCTTTTTGGACTTTTCTTCCCACCCACCGACCAACACTCTTTTTTTGTTCTTTCTTCCTTTTGCTGAGCCCAATAATTCAAGTTGGCCTTTTCTTCTTATAAATACAACCCCAACATAAAAATTTCAGCCCAGTAACACCTTGTCTCGCGATCTCAAATGTCCCCATAGCCTCATGCTCCTTTCTTTCTTTTTTTTCGGTTTGGGGGGAGGTTATGAAGGGATACAGGACCCATCCTTAATTAAAAGTTAAGTAACTCTATCTATATATCTATTAAAGCAAGAAGGTTATCATATATAATTAACATTATGATTAAATCAAGTGGTAAGCCAATAAATGTCAATAATAACTTTATTCTATATTTGATTATTTTAGTTATAATATATATATACACACACACGGAATTTGAATTAAAATATAATTTTAAATTTATATATAAAGTTCTAAAATTCGAATTTAAATTAAAAATAAAATTTATCTTTTTTTATCATGTTATCATATGCAATCATATTAGGAACTTTTGTTATTTTTTCTAATTATTTAAATACTACTTCGCCTCTAGGAAAAAAAACTACTCCATATAACTATAAAATTCTTTCACATTTAAAATCCTATAAGTATAGTTCTTTGAAATACTGTAGCTAGATTTGAATAAAATGAAATTCTTTTAAAATAAATGTAATATATAGGGTACACGTCTATATTTATCTAAATAACAAAAAAGAGTTTACAAAACCAAATAAAAATTTACTTATATATATAATAAAGTAAACATACATGCTGGAGAAAGAAACATCATAAAATAAGTCAATATTAAAAAAAGTTGTTTCTTTTTTTCTTCTTGAAGAATATTTATTTGAAGAGTCAATTTGAATAAATGGACATCAAACAAATAACAAAACTTTATCTATACAATTGCTATCATTAATTTCAATTTAGCATATTCAAGGAATTGAAGGGCATAAGCTGAAACCCCTTTATTTAGCTGTAGTCAGGCCAATATTGCAAGGATATAATATTTTTTTTGTTGAACAATATTAGTTTTGAATCATTAGATTATGTGAAAGATTTTTTTTTTCAAACTCAACAAGAGAGAAATTGGTTTCTAATTGATAGTTTCTATAGCGACTTTTAAGGGTAACAAAGAGTATATATAAAGAAAAAATTGGTATGACGTGAAATATTTTTTTTAAAATGTAAACAATTATTTCGAAAAAACTCTTTACTTTTTTAATTCAAAGATAATAAAAAGATAATATATTTTTTAACATTAGTAGAGAGTTTTAAAATTATTATAATAGAAGTTATATCATGGATAAACTCAAAAAATCAAAATCTTAAGGAATATTTACATAATATCCGGCCATATTTATTGTTTACTTTTTATAGCTAATATAAATAGATGATATACCGATAACACACGATTATACACATATTATATATGGATTATATATAAATTACACATCATTCAATTTTTTAATTTAAGTGGTCTGATGAGCACCTATTTAGGCTGATTAGATAAAGCCAAAAGAAAAATATGAAATAATTTCAACCAAAGATTAAAAATATAATTAAAGTTCATATGTAGACAATTTTTATTAAAACTCATCCTTTTAATTGAAATAAATTAATTTTTTGTAACAAAAGAAATAATGACATAAAAAATAAGATAAAAGAAAATAAATACTGGAAAAAATGTTAGAAAGATCTAAAAACGAGAAATAAAAGATGACAACAAATTTCTTCTTATGTTTCATCTTTGTTGAGTATAAAAATTTTGAAAGTTAATCTCACCGATTTCAATTTTTTTTTCAACTCAAATACATAGATTATAATATAAGGATATCTTAGAATTTTTTTTTAATTTATATTATGTGTCATTTTTAAAAAATCACTATTACTAACAAACTGATATGATATTCGAATTTGAATTGGAATGTAATTTGAGTAGTTTGCATTGAGATTAAGCCAAGTATGGTGTCGAAAAATAAACTACTTGATAATTTTAAGACAATATATACAATATTTTATAATAATAATCAACTAATTTAACATTTAAAGATTCAAAGAACAATTTTTTTGTATATATAGGGTATTACAAATTTAAATTATAGGGCTAGAGATATCGATAAACTTAAAGTGGAATCATACTAAAATAAATCCGGCCAAAGAATCATTTAAATTTTTAGATAGCCGATTAAATCGAATTTTAAATTAACGATAATATCTTCACTTGCATCATTATAAATTGAAATTTCAAAATAAAAATATTTTTTGAAGATAAAATCATACCAAATAAGAGTTTAAATCGTAATATAAGAGTCACGTCGTAATCAAAGAATCGTTTATATCGTGTTAACTTTTGTGCTTTGCCATAAATATGAGTTATTATTTTACTTTGTGGCTATTAGGTTCCAATGACACCTATGAAAATAGTGCAAAAATAAAATTATCACTACGTGAATTGAGAAAATATTAGTCTTTTTTCATGTAGTGTTTCTGAATTAATATCTGACGATTATCTATAATTATTTAGAAGGTTTAAATGTTAAGGTTATTTACATATAATTCAAATAACTCAGATATTTAACATGGTTAATGTCAAATATCAAAATGGAGTAAAACAAATTCACTAGCTAAAGAATTTTTTATATTTTTAGATAGCCAACTAAAATGAGTTTTGAATTAAAAAAAAATATTTTTTTCAATTACATTATTATAAAAATAATTATTATTGAAAAATAATATTTTAGAAACTGAAATTTTAAGAAAAAAATATTTTTTTCAATTACATTATTATAAAAATAATTATTATTGAAAAATAATATTTTAGAAACTGAAATTTTAAGAAAAAAATATTTTTTAAGCGATATCAATGCACCAAATAAGAATTCAAGTAGTAGTAAAAGAGTTAAGTCTTATCCAAAGAGTCATTCATTGTCTCAACATTTGATTGTTTTGCCATAAATATGAGTTATTATTTTGCTTCCGGACTATTTTTAGGATCTAATGACACCGGCAAGATTGGTATCAAAAAAGAAAAATAGAAGAAATGGTTAATTTTTTTCATGTAGTTAATATCCAATGATTATCTATATTTACAGAGAAAGTGTAAATTTTAACATTATTTACATACAATTCAAATAACTTAAATATTTGACATGATTAGTGTTCGCGCATCCGCGCGGATACTAATACTAGTTGAGTTTATAGCAATTAACCGTCTGTGATTCTTTCAAAAGAAAATGTTTGTGCATAGTGGCACAGGATGTAGTGCAAAATTTTTACTACTGATCAGTCATTATAGTATATTTAATGTGTAAATTCATGTGTGTGCATATAGAATTCGGTCGATCTGAATCCTCTAAATAGTTGATAATCTACTAAATATATTTACGGATTCAAGAATTCCATGGTTCTATATTTTCATTAATCTTTGGGCACGTTCAATCTTAGATCGCTCGAACTCATCAAAAAAGAATTTATGACTATGCTTCCTGTTTCGAACTACGGAACCAGGGTACAAACGTATGGAGATCATAGTAACTATTTTTTTTTTTTAGTGTCTTATTTGTCTATATGGAAAAAAACATAGAGGACTTATGGTTATTAGCATGTTCAACTATATGAGTATTGTATAGGCCCAAATTTGACAACCACGACAACGGATAAGCAAGGCATGGGACGGGATCCCCACAAAACAACGACTAAAAAGTCGTTGTGATAGAGGACGACGACCGAAAGCGGGCAGCTGAAATAAGACAACAACGGTCGTTTAAGTTTAAGAAGAGACAAGAAGAATATGACCCTTGGATATTCCTTGTGTTGCATTTTTTAGGGTTTTTTGGGAAATGACCCTTGGGGAGATAGTGAACAAAAAGGGGGATCTGCCTTTTGTAAACTGAGAGATATATTGTAAAGCCAAAAGAGGGAGAGAGAAGAGAATTGTCTCATTCGCATTATTCAAGCACATGTTGTTTAATTTTTATCCATAAATCTGAAGATTCCACATTCATATTGGATGCATATCCCTTCACACCATCAGAAAGAGGAGACATCCAATCACGCAATCATTGGGTGACAATCCCTTTATACTATAACCATCGTTATTTCTTGCATTCATTGCACATTTATGATATTATATCTCTTGTCTATCATAATATATTGAACGCACTAATTAACACTTGTATACTTTTCCTACTACACAAGAATCTCATTATATTTGGTTTAGAATTTATTAAGCTCAACTAGGATTCACCCTACTAATTTGTTATTAATTGGTTTAGCGAATATTTGCTCAAACAATTTGGCATCGTCTGTGGGGAATTTTTAGTTGAAACTATAGTTCATTCTAGATTAAAAAAAATAACACACATTTTTTCCACGTTTTGCACGAACTAACGATGGCAGGAAAAGGAGATGCGAGACTGAAAGCGATAGCAGCCGTGACTACCAACATTCTGAACACCATCAACGAAGATGGCAGGGAAGATGACGAGAATACAACACCAAACGGTACTCCCAAATGGAGTGTTTCACCTCCCCCTCATGAAAAAGTGAAGGTTGCAAGCGAAAAGGGAGCCTCCACATCCACAGCTGATGAAGCCCCACCAGCAGTGAAGAAACTATTAGAAGAGTGGCTGACAAGCACCCTAAACAATATACTCAACAGACCTACCCAAAAAGAAAATGGCAACACCGCACAAGCAGACATCGTAATAGCCACTGGCGAGCAGCCCCTTCCTCGAACAAGTAACACTTACCTTACTGTGGATGCAGGTAACGATGCGCTCGCAGCCGTCCTAAAGAAAATGGAAGAAATGAAAAACGAAAACAAGGCGCTCCACGAACAGACGAAAGAATACCAAGAAAGGGTCGACAAGATACCGGGTTCCCCAAAGTTACTACCAAAACGAGACGTTGGTCGATTCATCGAGCAACCGTACAGCGAAGAAGCGGCTCCATACGTCATACCCAAAACCTTCAAAATGCCACCGTACCTGAAGATATATGATGGTACTATAGATCCAGAAG